GAAGATCAGAGGTTAGTATACCGGAGTGAGGTCAGAGATGGGCAGGCCAGATGAGGTAAGTTTTCATAGGCTGTAGCAGAATTTGGATTTCACTCTAAGCCTAATGGGAAACTTTTGGAGAATTTTAAGTTAAGGAATCACATGATCTAATTTACAGTTTTAAAATAGGGAAGGAAGGGAAAAAGGAAAATAAATTAAGGGAGTGATGATGGTGATTTGAACCTGGGGGATAGTTGTAAAAATGGAGAAAAAGTAGACATAGTTAGGTTATATTTTAGAATTGTTTCTTACAGGATGTGCCAATGATTTGGACAAGGGAAGTGAGGGAGAGGATGCTTATTTCCATGCAAAAAAATGTTACCTATTACTTTATACCATAAGTATGATCCATAAGAGTAAAATTTAGACTTCATCAAAATTAAAACTTTCACTTTGTGAAAGACTCTGTTAAGAGGACAAAAAGACAAACTACAGATTGGGAGAAAAAATTTGAAAACTGTGTATGCAACAAAGGACTAATGTCTAGAACATACAAAGAACTCTTAAAACTCAACAGTAAAAAGCAAACAATCCAGTTAATAAATGGGTAAGAGACATGGAGAGATATTTCACCAGAAAAGGTATGTAATGGCAAATAAAGAAATAAAATGATGTTCAACATCATTATTCATTAGGGAAGTGCAAATTAAAACCATGAGATGCTTTTAGTAACATCAGAAAGTTTTTTCATTTCAAAACAAGGAATGTGTCTGCAATGTTCTATGCTTCATCAAATTGCTATGTAAGCCACATTGTGTGGGTGTGTGTGTATATAAAATATCAGAATAGGTAAAATAATAAATGCACACAAGGATGTGGAGAAACTGGATCACTTACACATTGCTTGCAGGAATATAAAATGATACATATGCTCTGGAAAAGTCTGGCAGTTAAAAAAACAAAAAAAGTAAACATGCAACTACCACATGACACAGTAATTGCACTCCAGGCATTTATCCCAAAGAAATGAAGATATATTCACACAGAAGTTCTCTTGGACAGCATTGCCCCAAACATTGAGGAGACATGTAAAAACTTTGAGCAGAGCTGGAAGTCATAAAATTATAATTTTCCACAAATCTCTAGGAAGAATCTGATAGGCTGGAAACTGGTAGGGATATTAGCATATGAATCAGGATATGTATCATCAGAAGTTGTGTTTGCAGAAATGAAGAATGGTGTGTGTATGTGTGTGAGGGTTGAGGTTAAGGGTGGAACTACAGGCACAGAGTAGATAAGGAGGCTGAAGAAGAGGTAGAGTGCTTTTTATTTAGGAAAATGGGTGGATACTGATCCCATTCACTGAAATAGGAAACACTTTAGAAGTAGAATTAAAAAATTATTTTTGAGAAGATGGGGGTGACTGACAAATTCAGGTTATATCCATGTTACCTTTGAGATTGTGAGGGACATTTTAGTAAGATGGACAAGAGGCAGTTGGATACATAGATTTGGAAGAGTCATTCTCAAGGAACTTAGGGGGAATGTATGGTCAGGCCACTCAAGATGGCTGTTCTCTTGCTCTCTGTGTGTCCCCTGCTCAACCAGCGCCTGCTGCACCTACAGCCTACTCACATGACTGACCTTCCTTTGTACTTGCACCAGGCCCCAGCTAGCCTTCTTATCAAAGGCGGGGAGGGGCATTCGCCTCTACTGGTTTCCCTGGTAACTAATGAGCCCACCTGACATCTATTTCCCCTGTAACTGGTAATCTCCCTCCCTTCACCACAGCGAAGACGGACACCTTGTTCTGCCTGCCCTCCACCACACCCAGTGGGGTTTTGCTCCAGGACTTTGTTTCAGACATGTAGTCTCCCCCATGCATTGATGTCTCTGTTGCTGACTCTGGGCTCTTTCTTTAGTCTTGAAGCTGGGCAAGCACAAGACTTGTAGGCCTATGGCATGCAGCCCAACAGGGGAGATGCATTCATTGTTACGTGGATCTCTCATTACTTCCCTAAAATAAGTGCCTAGAAGTTAAATTGCTTTTTCAAAGAATATGAATTATATGTGGGGACTTTCTAAATTTCTTCTCCCCCTTCTCCCCACCACACACATTCCCTAGTGGTCCTTATGTTGCTGTGATGAACAAATGTTACTGATAGGCATGTACAGTACTCCACAGGTGTGGTCTGGTATTTTAAAATTCATTGTTTGGGAGACAGATTTCAGAGTTATATCCCTTTCTTTGTGGAAACCGGGACAACCCTCTGCCTCATTCCAAAGGCTTTGTAAATACCAAAGGTAGTTTACATTTGCATCTTCATCAGTACAGGTCCCAGGCAAGAAAACAGAAATCAAATAAGGAATTCTAAACAGACAGCATTTGCTATGGAGAAATGTTGACGGCTAAAAGAGCATAAAGGGGAAGGTGAGATTAAATCAGAAATTCCTAACTGCAGGAAGTGGCTACTAGACCTAGAGCTGGTAGAACAGAGGGTGGAGGTGGTATTATCAGAGCCCAAGAGCAAATGCTCTTTTGGGGATGCCACATGAGTGTAGAGAAAGGGAAAACAGGACCACCAAGGAGGGGTTGTTGCAGCTGGTGCTGGACTTTGTAAAGGGCACAGCCACTGCCCTGGATACCAGAAGCAGAGAGGAAGAGAACTAAGGAACAATAGCTTTCCCATGTTCCACCTTCTGATTTTCTGCCTGTGCAGAATTCTTAGCAGAATCTTACAGGAAGCTGTCTGACAAGGAAAACTGGGAATTATAGTTTGCAAACTCCCAGCCCAACCATCGTCACAGAGCAGAGTTCAGGTGAGTATGGGGCTTAAATACCACCAGCACCTGCACTACACTTTACCAGGAAAAAATTTTTTTCCTCCTTTAGGTAGTAAACTCCCTAAAGAAAAACTGACTGATTTGGTTTTTGGTCTTTGATAGACTCAAGGGTTCATCACAGTGTCTGTCATATAAAATGCTCAATAAATATAATATATATATATATATATATATATTTTTTTTTTTTTTTTTGGGCCCGCAGGCCTCTCACTGCTGTGGCCTCTGCCATTGCGGAGCACAGGCTCCGGATGCGCAGGCTCAGTGGCCATGGCTCATGGGCCCACCCG